AAGATGCATTATATAAAGGTACAATTCCCAATGAGAAATGTAATTGTGTTGTATACCTACAATGTACCAATAAAAGAATTTAATTTTTAAAAAAAGTCTAGAAGACTTTTGGTGGAGTTCTTGGGTCTTCTGGTACTCAATTTTATAGCTCCCTCATCTTGCCAAAATCCTTTTCAAGAAAGTATTGTAGGGCTGGGGATTTAGCTCAGCGGTTTCACTGCCTGCTCCGCAGGCGCAAGGACCCAAGTTCGATCCCTGGTACCAAAAAAAAAAAAGTATTGTAAATTGGAGGCTCATGGGCCAAATTCTGACTGCAACAGGGCTTTGTTGGCCTGCACAGTGGTTATAAATGTTTTGTTTTATAGTACTGGGGATCAAACCCAGGGCCTTCGCACCGAGCCACATCCCCAGCCCCTTTTGTATTATATTTTGAGACACAGTCTTGCTAAGTTCCAGGGACTGGACTTGAACTTGTGATCCTCCAGCCTCAGCCTCTCAGAGCGCGGGGATTGTGTGCCGCACCATGCGCGGCTATAAACATTTTTGATGTTTATCCTCGTGTGGTAAGGATGGCGCTGCCCATTCCCAAACACTGCCATGGCTCCGCTGTCTGCAGATTGAGGTCCCCTTGTGTCACACGGAGCCTGCGTGAGTCGAAGCTCGGCAGAACTCAGCCTGCACCGGGCGTGGCTGCCGGGCCCCAGACGCTCAGGGACACAGGGTGGGCGCTCTCTGCTGCCACCTGCCGCCTCACCCGGCGCCTGCACTGGGCAGCGCGGATTCCTCGGAGCCCGGACTCCAGGTGTCTTGTCACAAGGCTCAGCCTTCCCTCTAGGCCTCGGGAGCATGTAAGAAACACTGGCTTGGGATTAGGAGACCAGGATTGGTTTTTATTTTTCTTATTCACTTTAACGTATCTTTATTTTCCTGATTTTCAAAAAATATATGAAAATATGTGTTTTTACAAATTGAGGGAAATTTAGACTCCCTTGAAATGTATCCCCTCCCCATCCCACGGCCGCATGAAAGTCGGCTCTGTTGTTTTGTGCTGTTTAAGGCTGCCACTTCTGGAGCGTTTGATGTGCACCAGGCACTCAGCAGAGCATATGAGATAAGTAATCTCCCTTGATTCTGAACCGCTGTCCTGG